TATGTTTCATTTAAAGCGATCTGGGATATTTTTTTACTCAACAACTCATGCTCAGCCCAAGCTGTTGTGTACCAAAGTCCAGCTCCTTGATCTGACAGGATATGTCTTTGGACTTGTTTTGGATTCTGGATATTTGTACTTCTGGACTGCACACTTGCAGTAATGTCTCTTTGAATATTGTGTCTTTTATATGTGCACTTCCAGGACGTGTATGAACAGACTGCTGGATTTGTCTCTCCGTGTTCACAGCGGACCTTGATTTAATGTCTTACAATTAAGGCACGCGGTGAATGCCAAGAGATGATCCTCCTCACGTCGTTCTGTGAACTGTCAACCTTGTGTTCATGCAGTGTCATGTATGTGCTCGTATTTTCAACGAATAAAAACATACACTATCTCTTGTTGGGCTCAGTTTTCTGTGGCAGTGTCCTTGTGCGCAGTGGTGTCTATCCACGGGAGCTGTCCACCGTGTGTGGTGCTGAAATGTGCACGCACAGATCAGCCTTTTGTTTCAGAGCTGCCTGGACACACGGCGGAAATGGCTCCGCTGGGTCTCCAGTAAAGGAATGCTGTGGACAGGTTACTACGTCTGTAGATTCCAGCGAGTATATAATCCTACTCATGCACGAAGTACTAGTCTATTTACTGCTATTTATGCGTCAAGATCGAAGTCACGCAAGTATAGTAAAATAATTGGTAATGACTTAGTGCCGCTTAATTTAAAGGGCTGAATAAAAGTAAATACTATATTGAGAATACTCAATTTGAAAACGTGTAAAATTTGCATACATTGCAGAGGAAAAGGGCAACACAATCAATTAAGGAAATGGCAACCGTAGCTACAAGCTCGTATGAGGCCTGTATCCAATATGGCCAATGATCGACATGTTGGTTCTGGATATCTGCGTTGGTAGTAAACTGTCAAAGAGTTGTCAAGTTCAGAGGATTAATTGAAGTTAGTAATTAAAACAAGCCATCGGGAAAAAAACCCCCAACGTTGTATGATCTATTTCCATGTAGCTGCACCACTTGGAAAGTCTTGTATTTATGTTTTAACCATGTCCGGTGGTATGTACTTGACCAACAATTTAAAAGTGTTAAGGTGCCACCTAACGGCAACCCAGGATACTGCATTACATGTCGAGGGTTTCGTATAGAATCATATTACTAATAGATTGACACATTTTAGAAAGAAAGTTACTAGAAAAATACATATCTGTATTTGGCAATAGATAACACACCCCTGACCAAGGCCTTGTGTGAATACAGGCGTAATTGCAAAACAACTACATCAAATAATATAAAGTGCAGTACTGCTTCTTCAAATCAGCCCATAACCCATTAGTGTACAAACATGTGTGACCAAAGAAAACCGCTCCACAACAAACAAAACAGAGAAAGTGTGATCGTGTTCATTAGCAATCAACCTAATGACTAAATTGTGGAAAACACAAGCAGGTGCAGAAATTAAACGCACCCATGTGCAGCTCATAGTTCCCACCATCGATTCATATTATACTTCTATGGCTCCCACTCACACACAGAAGTAGTCCACCATCTTGTGGTAGTGAGGTGAACTGCGAAATATTTTAACACATGTACAAGTGGTATCAACAATAAAGAAAAGTATGACTAAATTATCCATTATTCTGCAAGTATAGAATTTGGATCTCTACACTTGGCCCACATAGGCCCAGGAATCCATCTTTAGATGTTGATGCTCAGTTGGTCCGGACCAAGGTCCTGAGGTAGGTCCTTTGCCGGAGGATAGTCCCTAATTATGCATGTTTTGGGTTAATGGTGGAACTGGAGCCCGGAGGAGGAAATGCAGACACAGGGATAAACTCCACACAGATTTAAAGACCTGTCCTGGGATTGAACCAGCAGCCGTCTCGCCGTGAGACATAAATACTATTCACTACCATCTATGTTATTTCTTATTTGTGTTTTACTGCACTTTCAAAAGTAAATGACTAGTCAGAGACACAACTGCACCTCCACAATACATTTGCTTGCGGCTTTTAATTGCCCTTATATTAAATTGTGTCAAATTGGCTGATGAATTCAAATGTTCTGGTACAATTCTTTTTTTAACAGATGAAAGTGGTAAATGTGTAGGTTGAATGTTCTATACAAACAGACACTTTGCAATTATAATTTATTGAAATAAAGACTTGGAATAAAATTTTTGAGATGCATGGCCCAGTGAAACTTACAGTAGTCATTCCTTTGTTACCAAGTGGTAAAGATTAGAATGATGGAAATGCTTGTTCATTTACAATTCGTACTGCAAAGCAGGCCCACCATTATGAGATTTTTTTAAGTATTATTACTTTAGAATCAAGCATTAGGATAATAAATATAATCCCATTCCATTTCCTTCTGCTTGATCTGGGGCAGAGTTGTGGAGGCAGCAGTCTGATCAGAGTAAGTAAGTAAGTAAGTTTTTATTTATATACCGCCTTTTCACTGCAGATCTGAGTCTCAAAGCGGTTTACAATTGTTAATTTTGGGCATTTGTCTCTCACTCCACACAGAGATGGGAGCGGGGTCGCCAGTACAGGAGGCGCATGCCAGAACTATTGGACACATTTTTAGTGGTAGGGGAAACCGGAGTACCCGGAGGAAACCTACGCAGACACGGGGAGAACATGCAAACTCCACTCAGAAAGGCCCTGGTCCGACCGGGATTCGAACCCAGGACCTTCTTGCTGAGAGGCGAGAGTGCTATCCACTCAGCCACCGTGCCGCCGTGCCACCGTGCCGCCCAGTCTCTGTATCAGAGATACAGAGACTTCACTCTCACACACACGTCCTCCAGCTCTTATAAACCATTCCCCGGCTTTGATCCTAGTCAGCCACTCTTGTTCTTTAAAAAAAGTATTTATTATTATTCATTTTTATTACCCAAAGCTCATGACCATAGGTGTGAAATGGGATTGATGATATCATTTTTTTTTTTTTAAAGACATGACAGGTGGATTTAATTCAGAAAATAAACATTAGTTTGTGGTAATGCTAACGTGCTTGTTAGAATTAGAGGCTATACCCATTTAACACATTCATTTTTACTGATGAGGCTCATTTTAAAGAGAACGAGAGAAAAATGTTGATAACAAGATATCCAGTAGTTAGTTTTTTTAGAAGGTTTGTTTCTGTTAAAATTAGGTACAGTATATGTCATGGCAGCATGACGGCAAGATGGAAAGAGGCTAAGGGTTCAACTAAGGGTTCAAGCAAGAGTTTGCATGTTCTCCCGGTGTCTGCGCAGGTTTCCTCCGGGTGCGCTGGTTTCCCCCGGGTGCTCTGGGTTCCCCTACCACTGCACCCGGACAAAACGGCCGAGGGTGAGTTTGAAAGTGCGACTTTGGGACAACAGTGTACCAATTGTTAGTCTGGTTCTCACATCAGCGCCTAAACAGGCCAAAGCTCTTCCAGAGTTAAAACTTGTCATAGAGAATGTTCTGCTGGTTGCTTTGCTTTAAACAGGCTTAAACAGGCTATACCCTGACTTCATGTTAAACCTAAAACATCCAGCAGGACATGACCTTCGGATGTAAACCACAGTGAAGTTAATGTCTGGCTATTAAACATTTGTCTCCTGTCTGCTGTGCAGCGCCCCTGGTTTAGGAGTCCACTCTTGCTCATTTCTAAAGTGCTGACGAACAGTGCTGTTATGGTCATAGCGGTGTCTGGGTCCATCTTGTCTCATTATCTGGACTTGATAGGCCATGAAGGTGCTCTGCCTCTCTCTCAGAGGAAACTGGACTGAGTCTGTCATTACACTATTACTCCTCAGAAATCCCTTAGCACACTTTACAGCGCCATGCAAAAGTATTCATACCACACAACATTTTCCACATCGTCTCATGTTAAACACATACACAAATATATTTTATTGTAATTTTTGTGACGGACCAACACAAAGTGACAGACAACTGTGAATAGAAAGACAAATTATACATGATTTAATAATTATCAATTTGCTGAAATGTGTGTTGTCCAAAATTATCCAGCCTACACCTGAAATGGTTACCAAAGAGAATCAAAAACGAACACATCAGAAAGGTTATGGATGAAATAGTGGATGGGCATGATTAGATAGTACAAAGACAAGTACTCAAGTCCCAAGTTTGTGCATCTCACAGAGCACTGGTCAATCTATCAATATACTAGACAATGTTGGAATAAATGCTGTTGGAGTCAGTCAAACAGTCAGTGGTGTTGTAAGTGCTATGGTCAAGACATGTACAAATCATAAACTAAAAAGGGCTTTTCAGAGGAGGTTGTAACTGGAAACAGGTCGAAGGTTGTATTCGATTTGAGTCTGATGGGTGTTTGTGTAAGGCTTTGTAAATTCCACTAGATGGCAGTGTGCGCACATAGTACAACGAGCCCTGACTGCGATGCACGATGTTGAGGATTGTGTGACTAAAACAACTCGATTTATACATTAAAATACAGTCAAAGTAACAGACGCACATTAAAGTGAGTGTTACTTGAACTTTAACATCGTGTGAAACCCACTTTACGAGTGAGAGCGTTTAGACGCCAACAATGAGCAGGGGACACGGAAAGTAGAGAAAAACTGCTAAACTAATTTTCATGTTATATTCCAACGTAACTATCAAACTTAAATTTGAGCACAATAAACGGCACGCGTAACAGCTCTCCACTACTTGCCAGCCTGGTGCCGCACGCAGCGCACACGCGGTATTGTTTGTCATTGCTTAAACGGCATTAATTAAAACGTTAACGTGATTGGGTGAGGGAGAGAGTGTCTCTGTCCCAATAGGCGCATCCTTTAACAACCCGCCTCGAGATAATGATGTAAAGAGACTCGGGCGTCTCGTCCCAGTGAAGGTGAACAGAGCCACAGAGAGAGAGGCACAAGCCGCACTTACTCCACGAGTGTCCTCCTCTCGCCCACACTTGTGCGCACCAGACAGGCGACAACAACTAAGTGCTGCCACAACTAAGTCCAGGAGTGAGAGCAGGCTATGGACCGGAGGATCAACGTGAACGGTGGCGCTGCAGACATTTTTCACAAAGCTCTCAGCGCTAAGATGGACCCGTTTAGGTCTCCTCCGGGTTTGGAGCGGGCACAAAGAGAGCGCCAGTCGCCCATCAGCTGCTTCGACCAGACCGACCCGGACCCCATCCACCCTGGAGGACTGGCTGGTGTTAGAGGCGGCCCACTGGGGTTACCCACCGGCTCTCTGTGCGTAAACTACGGGGAAAGCGCCAACAGGACATCGGCCGCAGAAAGTAGTGGAGGAGAGCAGAGCCAGGACGATGACAGCGACGGCAGATGTGACATGGTTCTGCTGAGTGACGGGCGGACTGTAAGCACGGGCATTGGTGAAGGAGGTAAGAAAACCAAAGAGCAGAAGACACTGAGGCTAAACATAAATGCCAGAGAACGGAGGCGGATGCACGACTTGAACGACGCACTGGATGAGTTGAGAGCGGTGATCCCATACGCGCACAGTCCGTCAGTGCGTAAACTCTCCAAAATAGCAACTTTGCTCCTCGCTAAGAACTATATCCTGATGCAAGCTCAGGCACTGGACGAGATGCGGAGGCTAGTGGCTTATCTCAACCAGGGCCAAGCCATCTCTGCTGCCTCCATCCCGGCCACTACCGCCCTCGCTGCGCCTGGCCTCGGTGGGTACGACCAGCCGCCCGGTTACCCGTTTCCCAGCGGAGTGGGCGCATCTTCGTGCCCAGACAAATGTGCCCTTTTCAACAATTCAGCCTCCAGTCTCTGTAAACAGTGCACTGACAAGCCTTAACACAGACAATTCTTACGGCGCACGGACTCTGAGAACACTTTTGGAAGACGCTGTCAGCCACCAACAGCGCTTTAGAGACTGATGAGTACTTTTATAACATTTAATACATTTGTTGCCAATACTTGATTGTGTACATATTTCATCATAAGTGCTGGTGTGAGCGCTGGTCATGCAGTGGGCCCGAGTTGTCACTTTGTCGCTCAGAACTGGACCTGTTCATGTGAACACCTCATTATCTGCTGCTTCCTCAAGATTTAGTGCTTTTTGAAACGTGTGTGATCAAAGCCTAAACTGAATTTAATTTGTCGAATGTCACGAATGAGGACAGTGGGACAGTGGGACTAAACAACAACTTACTCAGATTGAAAGACATGCACATGTGAACACAGCAAAGGCCCTTCGCGTTTTACATTTGGTGAAGATTTCTAAGGAAAGTTGGAAACCTTTTGTGTAAAGATACATTCGGTGTGTCTTTTTGTTATTTATAATTTAACCTTATTTATTCGGCGTTTCGCGTGCTTTGCACTAATGATTTAAATACAATTTTGAGAATATAAGCTGTTGTAAGTCCACTGTACTTTACAAAGGAGAGGGTCATTTGTATGTATTTGGTGTGAAAAAGCTTTATTAAAATATTTTGAACAACACATTTTTTGCACATAGTCATTTTGATTTTTACTCTAACAGGCAAACATGTCGTCTGTGGATATTACTCATTAAGTTTTTCCAACACACTTTTCACCCACGGCAAAACACCCGGTTTGACAGCACTTGGTTTTATAAAACAATTAACAACAATGGTGTTGTAATAAACGCGTAGTTAAGGAAAATAGATTTGATTAAGCAATGCGATTACGACAGCGTACAATGCCGTGATTTGGCGTCTTCAATCACATCGCACAGGCCGAGCTCAGTCTTTGTCCTCAGACCACTCAAACACCGCACGGACTTACGAGTAATCGGTTCGTCACTTCCGACACTAAAGCTTCAATGATGTTTCAGATTCTTTGCTCTTGAATTATATGCTTGAGAAAAACGTTATGAAAAAGTTCCAAAAAATGAGCGGTATCGTGATTTCAGCACCTTGGACAGAGGCAGTTTAAAGCCATATGTCAGCGTCTGTTCTGTATCACTATTGTTTCGATTATTCTCATTTCAATCAATATAATTAATACTGTTATATTGACTTAATGTTATTTATAAGATTTCAAATGATTGAGTGTAAGTCAAATGATTAAATCACCAACAGGTTTACGCTTCTTCTTTCGGAAAAGAAGCTGATAATTATGCAATATGCATTAATGCACAAACAAGTAGAGCATTTAACCCATACTAATATTCACATTAGCCCAGAGGAAGACATTCCCCAGGGATGGGCCTGAGCCATATGTGAGTGAAACACAACATCTGAAGAAAACTGGCCTCATTTCACAAATATTGCCACATTTAAAGACTACATTATAAAGCTCTTTGATTCAAATGTTATAAAATGCAAGGCTTTACTCCTGGATGCCAAACTCATGAGTAGAAGTGTGCAATAAACAGTAAAGTATTTAGGGCCAGCAGGGTGCCTATCCATAACAAGGATGTGATGTATGCTAAAGATGATAAACATGAAAGTGGAAACATAAGCACACTGAATCAAAGTGTCCTCCTCAAATCTGAAGGGGGGAAGTCCTCCCATGCAGCAGCAAATAAGATATATGTGATGCACAGGCTGAGGTACCAAATCAACGGAGCCGGTGGTAATTCACTTCTGTCAGGGTGACGATAGCGCTGCATAATGTTGTCTTTGTGTTTTCAGGCCCCCAGAGCAGGCTGATAAAAGTGTAGGAATTTAAGAGGTCACATGGAGTCAAGAGAAGTGTGTAACAAAACACTTGTAAGAGCTTTTATCCATCAGATGTGACACAGCTAACAGGGACTCTCTCCACATTAGTGCTGCTACGTTGGCTCTTCAGGGTTGCCACTTTCTGAAGTTTATTCCCTAATCTATCTAAAGGTGCGATTCATATCCTTCAGATGCAACGGATATAATGCTTTGTCTTTTTTATGCTAAAGGTGCTCCCAAAACTAAGACAACTAACAAATACAGTTCAAAAATGTCTGGTTCGTTTGCATTTAACACTAGTATTGATTATAGATTTATCCTGTCCTGCTGTAACTGATGGAAGTGTCTGTTGTATTAGTGTCCAGATTTAAATGAACACCTAATACTTTTCCTTTGAGAGGCAGACTGGGGTCAGGTAAACTTACGGAGGCGTGTTCAGCACTTACAGGGAACAATACATGAAGACCTCTCATCTGGAATACAGTTACTAACATCTCTAATATTCCAACTGCCTTCATGATAATCTGATTATAATTCCAATCCCATAATCCTCGTTTACCGAAGGCTAGTCTTTGTGCTCTAATCTGATGTTCTTTTATTTTTCGTAGGATTGAACTGTAGTCATTTGTGCTGTTGTTTGTGGACAATTCCTTTTTTTTTGTGATGAACTAAAACAGATCTTTTAGTCTATGTGAAATGAATACACAAAATGAATAATATAAGACTGTATGAAAACTCTGGCATTCTGCTGGAATTCCATCAGTTAAAAGTGATTTGTTTTAAAAGTGATCTCGTGATAATGAAAGGTTCACTGTCAAAAAGGTAAGAAGGATTTTATGTTGACAGGATTTTACGACAACTTTACTACAAAAAGTATAAATCTATAAATTGTTCCTGGGATTTACAAAGACTTTGTTTGAATGAATGGTGTGAGTCTCAGAGGTCCAGACATTTGGAAACAGGGATCACCTGACTGATCAATATGCAGATCGCGGACGCCTAAGATTCACTGATGCTAAAGCAAAGTGGATTTCATCTTGACTTTGTGATATTCATTAACTCCGGCTCCTCCATGGAATAAAGACATGGGGATGACACAATAACACTATGAATCAGTTCAGCTCAGCTCACGCACACACACACACACACACACACACACACACACACACACACACACACACACACACACACACACACACACACACGCACACACACACACACACACACACACATACACACACACACATACACACACACGCAGATTATGTGATAAAGAAGTATGTGTGTAATACAGGAGGCAGGTCACTTATACCGACAACCATTTGTTTACATGCTCCTCTAACAACAGCTCATTTCCCAGTTTCAGGTCAGTTTTTTGATTAGAAATGTAATGAAGATTAAGGTTTATAGTGAACAAGGTCAACTTTCTTGTAAACAAGGACACACAAAAGCCCATAAACAGCAAATCTATAAAAACAATAACTGTCCTCATACGTATCATTCCAAGACAATCCCATGTAACCTTTCAACTAACAAATAATAATAAAGTAAATTAAAAACAAATTTAATTTCAAATTGCGCAAAACGTGGTAAACAATCAAGGAGGCTCGTCTTGTTGAAATGAATCCTCTTATTAGAGCATGAAACTGGGCCGTTAGTCCAACACTTGCTTGGCTGCTCCTCCTGATGCGCTGAGAGCTAGCGCAGGCTTCAGTGTATGTCTGATCAGAGGTCTTTAACAGCCATGAATGCCAGGCATGGGGGAGGCAGGCCAGGCCAAGCGGAACCACCACGGCCCCATGTCCTTGGCTCCTCGGCGGCCTTCACCTCACACTCCCTGCACACTGAATTTTATGGCTAATTTCCGGCAATTTATCCTGGCACTTTGAGAAGAAAGATTCCTGCGGGAATAATGTGCATAATTTGCATAAATCATCCTGATAGCATGCATATCAGCATGTAACCCCTGTCTAATGCTGCCGCGTTTACTTTGTAATCAAAACTGACTCTTTCCACCGGCGGCTGCACAAGTGCCACGACAAAACTCGGACTTGAGGTGAATCATTACAATAGAGGTGATGGCTCATAACAGAACAGAGCATACATTAGAAGGAACTTTCCACAACATCCTCACTCACAGCTACTTTCACTACAGCCACAACATTTAGTCTGCGATTCTGAGCTATTTTTACGGCAGCCATCCTGTTCAGCCTGCTCCACCGGCCTGGTTTCAGAGCCTCTCCGTAAGCGACCAATTGTCTGAGGGGAAGAGACGGGGGTCAGCGTGCCGGATCTCCCCCTCGCTGTGATCTAATTTGACATACAGTGAGAACATGCATATTCTCTTGGACTGCCTTCGTTACTATAATCAGCTGTGGTCAAATCTGCTTTGTTGGTGGAGGAGGTGTGAGAGGAAAGGCAAAAACAATGCAGTAAAGAAAGATGAGAGTGTGGTTTTTGGTGCTTATGAGTCCACCATGCAGGCCTCCTGATGTAAATACTACTCAACACAAGCTGCAGATGAGGTATTGGTTCAGCTAATCTGTGTAGACAGTCAGACCAAAACATCGCAGCACCGAGGAGGGGCATTATTTTCCTTTCTTGTTTTGGATTTTGTGATTGACAACAAAAACAGAATAAATACAGTGTGTTGCGCCTATTTTGAGAAGTCTTCATCGATATTAACAGTTTTAAAACATCCTTGAGTGCAGTTTTCATGTGTATATATTATGGAGCCTGGTTTTAAACGTGTCTGGCGGGTGACAACAGGACAGTCGTGCGCTGAGCGGACGTTAATCACAATAATCCAGGGCAACCTAATCACGACTCACTGATGAAGCGCTAAATGACATGCCTGGCGTACCCACCATAACCAGTCAGTTTCATGGGATTCACACTCTTAGAAGGGTCTGTATGAGGGAGAAGGAGGAGGCGTCGGGAGCCTGGTGCACAGCCATCCAGACAATAATTACTCCAAGACTGTGGTCACATTAAGAATCAGTCAAACCAGATTAATTTCGACTGATAGCATTGGTCTCTCCTAAATGCAGATTTTCTTAATAAGAGTGAAATTGTGCCATTGAGAGGGGTTAGGATTTACTATGGGTAGTCCAATTTACAATCTTTGCATGAATCAGACCAGTAGCTCGGGAGGTTACCACATGCAGAATGTCAGATTAGTACGTAAATGCCTTTTTGAACAGCCCGTATTGATGTGTGTGTTTGCATGCACAAGCACAAATGAGGCTGTGTGTGTGTGGTAGGCCTTTCAGTAAATACCCAGAGACCCAGAGAATTACCCAGAGCAGAGAGGACAGCATCTGTTTGTATGCTTGTGCCGAGCAAACAAGGCAATTTAGAGAACACCAAGGGAGCGGCTAATAAACACAACCTTATTTCCCCTTCCTGCTACACCTGGCTCTGAATATAGCAGTGCAACAATACGTGGGACTGTATATTTGTATTGCTGTGATGCAAGGATGGTTTAACTGCGTTGTCTTTCTGTATTTTGTGTACAAATGTATGATGGGATTGTTTCACAATTTATCATGGTCCGGGGGTGTGCCAGAGCCGCTGAGAACTGGAAGGTCCATGCCCTATTTCACTCAAGTGTCACTAGTTAAAATAAAAGCAGTCCACAAAATACAACTGGGCGTAGTAAATATGTAAAGAGGGCAAATATGATATTGCTATTTGATCTAATTATTTGAGGAGATACTTCCAGACAAAACACTAAAATAACTTTCTCTGTAATTTCAATGTAATTCTTGCTACAACAAAACCATTGCATATTTTTTAAGTTTTTAAAATGCATGGATTGTCCAGAAAACCCTTATTCCATTAATTCACAGAAAACGTTTAATGGTAATTCATTGGTAATCTAGTCTTAAACGTAATGACACCAAGTGGATTATTTCCTGTGTAAATTGTAACCTATATTGTCTCTAGAATCATATCGCCTTTTTCATCTGCGACTCAGATACGCAGCCAAAGTGACAGTAAGGCCCGCTTCTGACCACACAAAATGGCTGCGCTGTGCCAAATCCTGCCTTGGCTTTCACATCATATTACAGGTTGCAGCAGGCCAGGCCGGCTTCACCAGAATTCACCACCCATTGTTTTCGTCTGACACAATAATATACGCTTACTTTAAAGTGAATGTGATTAAACACACAAGAACAGGGGATGTGGATGTGTACAGGCCAAACGTTTGTCCTTTCACTTAGTAAGCGTTTCATTTCTTTGTCTCATTAGAGCTCTTACCTGGCGGCCTCACATGATCCTCAATCCCATCAGCCCCAGAGCCAAGAAGATCCTGGAATGAAAAAAGAGAAAATAAGTGCAAAAGGGGAGATTAATCGGAGTTATTACACTGATTAGATTTTCATAAATGCTAATTAAAAGATGTTGGAACACGGGTCCAGCCAAGGATCAGTGGGCACTAATGGGGACCAATAGGACTCTGTAATCAGCACTATAATGAAATGGTTTAAATATAAAGTTTGCAGGACAAGAGTGGAAAGGTGGATGGTTAGAGAATGGCAGCAATCCTGAAAACCCAATCCAATAGTGCCATTAGAACGTGAGAGCTTGCAGCCTCAGCAATAAGAGGCCATTGTGGGAATATGAGATTGGAAGAGAAAAATTCAATTATACAAAATGATTTGGTGCAATAAAAACATTTGACTATGGGACAATTTCATGGCTGAAGGTCACATATCTCCTTGTCTTTGAATATGCTCTTTAAGTAAAGTCTTATCTTGTGCTCCATGTTTACTATAAGGGTGGAATGAGAAATAAGTCTAGGATGAGGTTCTTGGTGGAGATTCTGTCCCATTAAGAGATTTATTACTGCCGTACGGCGGCACGGTGGCTGAGTGGATAGCACTCTCGCCTCTCAGCAAGAAGGTCCTGGGTTTGAATCCCGGTCGGACCAGGGCCTTTCTGAGTGGAGTTTGCATGTTCTCCCCGTGTCTGTGTAGATTTCCTCCGGGTACTCCGGTTTCCCCTACCACTAAAAATATGTACAATAGGTCTGGCATGCGCCTCCTGTTCGGCGACCCCACTCCATCTCTGTGTGGAGTGAGAGGACAAGTGCCCAACAATTGTAAACCGCTTTGTGACTCTGGTCTGTGAAAGGCGGTATATAAATAAAACTTACTTACTCACTATATAACATTTGGGGTCACATCCCTGTGTGGCCATAGGTGAGAGCAGAGTGTACGATATTCAGAAAAATGCAGAATTTAGAAAACAGAAATCTACTGTTTAATTATAAAACAGTTTCACATTGTAATTTTCACCCGACAGTTGAAAAAAAAAAAAAAAAAAAAGGTTAGACAATTACTAGCTAGACAACTAATCTTGAGGGGAAGACAGCAGTAAACAAGTAAAAAGAATCCATCCAAAAATCCATTTGCTTAAAAGAAAATGGCAGAGTAATACAAAACAGACGGTTAAGGAGTCAACTGAAATTAAAAAGGCCATTACTTATTCAGTGTGGAGTCATTATTAGCAAATGAGTCCCGCTGACAGGTGCACCCCACTCATTTACAAATTTGTGTATAGCACTATCATCAGTTGCTAATTTATCTCAAATAATGATGTGTAGCAAAACAGGGGGCTGTTAAACTGTCACAAACATGGTTGTAATGTGCCTAATTCAGTCACAGTTTAGAAGGAGTTCTCAGAATTGGCGCCAAAACATGACTACATTGAGTTCATTTTCATTACTTTAAGTCCAATCTGCCCCAATACGAACATCAGTAAATCTGTAAACGTGCAGTGGCGTGGAGCTCTTTGTCAGACCTTGTAAAACAGTTCAGATGACACAGCATCATCCTCTTACAGTGTTTTGTTTAACTGAGCTTTAGTTTTACCATTTGCCCTGACTTATTATGTTTCCAGAGAAAGCTGTTGAAATTACAGCAGAGGTCGGCGTGACAATGCTGATAGGCCATAAAACCATGTCAGTTAATGTCCCCTCTCACCCCTCCTCACTGGTCTCCAGTCTACCCACCATTAAACCAATTCATCACTGTTGAATGAAGGCCACGTGACAGATTCAGTCTATCATTCAGACCATTTAGGATGTAATAATCAGGGAATCCTGTTATAGTAAACACTATGGACATCTCAAGAATGATTTCAAAGTGCTCTATTAAGAAGTAGCTCAATGCATGAGAAAAATTCACAAAGTCAATAGCAGAAATTACATTGGAAAACATTGATGCAAAAATAATGTACAGTTTTGTCAGCTATTTGAAGCCAGTTGTTTGATATGTCACATCTCTAATAACCTTGTGAGATAGGATCCAAGATTTGCATTTTTGGCCCTTGCTTGCATAATGAAAAAAGGTAGAGCGGAGCATATTTCAGCCGGCCTGTCAAAGCCACTCACGCCCTCTGCGAAGCACTCAGGAACTTCATTCTCACAGCCCGGCTTTCAAATTGACTATGACAAAATTAGCAAACCTAGACTGTTTGGATCCAGCACCAATAGACTGGGCTCCTATTTTTTTCTAAAATGTAATCAAGGCCTCCAATATGAAGTCTCCTTGAAAGTTGCTCAATCTCTGCTGCTGTATGAAATACAGTTGTAAATGTATGTAATGTGCTGAGCTTGTTAGGCAGATCTTTCAGGCCCGCTGACAGTGACGAGTATCGGGGTTTGGCAGAGGTGGCATGTGGGAGACACATATCGGCAGCACCACCACGCCACAGCAATTACAGATCTATATATCCAGACAGGTCCAGACCCAGTTCTGTGGTAGAGCCATACTTACAGCTTAAAGAGTGTATTAACATGACATGCATGTCCGACTCACCGGTGTCTGGTGACAGTCACTGGGTCACTGTGAAAGGGGAGCAGTAATCATAGAAATCATGCAGCCAGCACTAAAGACCATGTCAATGATGATAGACATCAGGAAAATCCCTTTAGCAGCACAACAGCAATTGTAAAACTGAACTTTTCATTGTCTAAGTAGTGGATGAATTATTATGAGGAGAGTATATGTTATATGCACTGAGTGAGAAAATGACAATGACCATAAGCTAACAGAAGAATTAATACATGTGTTTTTACATTATATCAGAGTTCTGAATGAATACTTTAAGGACTTCTTTTAGTCGGCGGCACGGCGGCTGAGTGGATAGCACTCTCGCCTCTCAGCAAGAAGGTCCTGGGTTCGAATCCCGGTTGGACCAGGGCCTTTCTGAGTGGAGTTTGCATGTTCTCCCCGTGTCTGCGTAGGTTTCCTCCGGGTGCTCCGGTTTCCCCTACCACTAAAAATATGTACAATAGGTCTGGCATGTGCCTCCTGTACTGGCGACCCCCACTCCCAAAAATAACAATTGTAAACCGCTTTGAGACTCAGATGTGCAGTGAAAAGGCGGTATATAAATAAAGATTACTTACTACTACTACTACTACAATTAAGATTTAAGTTTGTTTCCCTTTATTAGTCACTAATGTAAAAACAGTGATGAAAGTGTAGTCCTTGGACTTCATGGAATTTTTTTAAAAATAGAAATGTAATAGAAAACTTATCAATGACAAGAAAGACACATGCATTTACTTACTTCCTAACACCAACTGTGTAACGTTTAATTTGCAAAAGGAACGTAAACGACTTCCACTAAAACTCTTGAGGTGGTGTTTGGTCTGGGCTCTAATAAAGATGTAATTGCATCAATTACGAGACAGCATTATAGTTATAAGGTAGCTAAGCACTGTGTTAATTAATCGTGTTGCAGTTGGTTTTTTGCCTCAACACACACTGACTGCCCCGTTTAAATGAATCTCTACAGGCCTAAGTAATTAGTTCTGACTATTAATTACTGTAATTGCTTATTATCATGTTGGTTTTAATTTCAACATGCTTCTTGCGTGTAAATAGCCCATAACAAATCTGCTTCGGTTTGAATGCTAAATGTTCTGCAATAAAAGGACATGGTTCAAGTATTTAATGTGAATGATATTTGCATCTTATAAGGACAAAATATTATGCTGAATGATACACAAGCAACGACTCACACAGCTACAGAAGAGGACGGTACCAGACTAGACCCCTGGAGCAGAGACAATGGGTTCTGAGGAGGAGCTGCTGTATCTTGGTAAACAAGGCGGCCCTCGACTGTGAAGGTGACATAGAGATGCTACACGCAGAACAACCCTTTTGATTAATCACAGGATATTTACTAGCTCAGATCTAATCAAGGAGCGCCGGATCACAGCCTATATCATACACAGCTCGGGAATTTACACAGCAGAGTTAACCTGTCACCTGCTACTGTCCTCTTCCTATAAATGCAATGAATAGGCTGCTCCACTCTCGGGACTGCATCCTCCAAACAAACTCCTCTTGAAGTGATTGTTTTATTTCTGCACGAGCAATATAAGCTGTAGTGATAGTCAGATACTAAACACATGTCGTCTGATATAAAACCTTATGGCAGGGCTGAGAAAGAGCTGTTTATCTCAAGGTGAAAAAGGTAATGGGAAACAATAGCAGGAGCACATTTCACCCAAAGTAAAGTTGAACTCTAATGTTTTCTTTACTGCCCTGAGAGAAAAATACTGGACTTTTATGGTATCATCATATTTGTTTACACAATTGTCCCCAAAAAGTCCAACTCATAGACAAACAAGTAGGAAGGGACACTTTCCCTCGGGAAACGGTAAGAATAAGTATGCACATTCACCTTGCAGGTTTTCTTCTGACTTACCCAAATCATAGTATATTACGATATTTGAAGAAAAGCAGAGGTTCTTTCAGTCGCTTATCATTGATCAGACAAAAATATGTGATAGCTGATCACATTTGAGGCTAAATTGCCATATTTTCACTCCATGTAATTATGTTGGCATCTCTGGTTTCTCCTATCACTAAAAAAACATTTACAATATTTCAGGGTATTTATCTGACCAGAGGAGACCGAGCCTTTGCTGTGGCAGAGCCCAAACTCTGGATTTGCTCTCCCTTATAGTGTCAGAGAGCTGCCCTCTCTGTAGAGAACTTTAAATTGCAGCTTAAGACACATTTCTTTTGCATCTGCTTTTTTTTTTCAAGCACTGGTGAAACTTTTCTGATAGTGGACCTGTATTTTATTTATGTCTGGTAAGCACTTTGTGACAGTCATGTCTGTTTTTAAAATGTGCTATATAAATAAACTTGACCTTGACCTTCTAACAACTACTAATTATTAGTCAAATAAAATATACTGAACATATTGTCATGTACTCATCTTAAGAGTAACAATTAACAAGTACAACTAAAGCATTCCCTCAGCGCTGGTTCCGATGACGCCCTCTTTGATCACACATTCATAATCATCTATAGAGACATGCCCTTTGGTGTGACCTGCACTGTGTCCTGTGTCGTTAGCATGTCTCACACAAACACAGGTAGAAGTGCAAGTCTCCCGCCCTGTGCTGTTTATAAAAGGCTCAGTTTCAAGTGAGCCTGAAATGCAGTGTTGCCTGGAAATGTCACCTCACAGCAGGGTGCGCCACCATTTACAAAGCACCTCATACAGAAACGGCAACAGAATATAAGACCAAGACGAGTCCTATTGTTCACTGATGGACACAAACACTGTGTGACTGATCCACTGTGAATACTTGGGCCCATTTGTTTAGTCTGAAATCACAATTGACCTCAAGTGTTTAAGAAATGGACCATTTAATGTATCAAGGCGTGTGAGAAGAGACAAATAGTAGGTCTATTAGATGAGAGCGTTTTTGTCAGTCAGCTTTTCACTCAGATAATTCCTCCGACTGACGACCCACATTAAAGCCAAGAGGAAGAATAATTTCAGTGTCACATCCTTTCAGCTCGACCCCATTGACAAAGGCTGAGATGGGGCGTTCTCACTTAAAATTAAATCACATTTGCCTTGTTAATGCCTTTGTCCAATCCACAGCGAAACATATACAAAAGATTCTCATTCACTCTGGTATTGTCGCACAAGGCTGGGTGCAGTTGATTTTTCACCTCTATAAAAGTGTAAGAGACATGTATAAGAGGATGGTTGGTTGCACTGGTACCTTCCCATCAAATATTCAAACTCACTTGTAATTCCTTGTGAGCCGGGGCTTAAAATGAGACAAAACAAAACACTTGTGGTAAAACAATTTTCTGAGGATGTTCTGTCAGTTTTCGCTCTTTCTTACAGCTCTCATCTCTGCACCGCTGTGGCGTAAATGCTTTAAACCACTTTGACATAACATGCTGTGTCCAGAGACATCCAGCTTGTGAATAATGAATCTTCAGTATGTTCACAACAGCTGTCTCTTCAAGAAGCCTTTTTTTATCCACGGCATTTGATAAATTCCCTGAGTCCTTTGCACAATTTCAGTTTATTTAGGCAGTAGCTTGTCGTGACATTACCTGACCAATCAGTGGAGCATAAACTTCTGACAAGCCAAGGAGAGGACAAGTAAATACTGTCCCATGATTTCTCTCCCCCAGCTCTAAATGTTTAATTCTGGCCCAGTGTATTTCTTTATGATTGCAACATCTGCTCGGTCCCAGTGCCAGCTCCCTCTGTCAGCCACCCTCTGTTCAATAATTCCTGTCCTGACCCCAAAGAGCCCGGACATCACAGCTCCGTCTGCTGTTCAAACTTCAGGAGGAGCGTGCTCAGAGGGACACGTACCTACATGCTCACAAACAGGGCCAGCCTCATCCAGTACAAACATCTCAAAGTGCAGAAAACTGTTGAAGTGACAAGCAGCAGCACTGGATTGCAATGAAAACAAAAAATGTATGTCAAAATGTACTGCTCACATACGATTACATCAGCATCTAGAGTATAGTGGATATCGGACGTTTACATACAGTACACCATGTAACAAGACCATGATTTATTTCTCACTGTAAAAAAAATGTCATCACACATTTCTGTTAGTATTTGATATAATTTCCTTTAAAATTCACTTGCGTCAAATGTTTTGGGTAACCTTCCACAAGCCGCTCACATTTTTGGAATTTTGCCCCATTACTCCTTTAAGAACTGCTGTAACTCCAGCGATCCAGTCACACCAGTGATGTGTTCCTCTGTAGACCCTCATTAAGGATCACTGCTGAGATGTCATTGCTTTTGGCCTTATTTGTTTTGTGGATACTTAATGATTAGAGAAAACCCTTTTTTTCCACTAATTGTTCGTGGTTTGTGTGAAGCTATTTTGTCTGTTATTATTATTTTTTATGCTTTAACATGTATTATTGCTGAGTATTATAAGTATGTGATAGAGATGTCCTTTTATATTTTTTCTATGTTCTGAGAAAAAAAAAAGTGAGTAATAATTCCTTTTCTGACTCTGACTATGTAGCCCACCTTTATACTATACAATGTATGCTTATAAATACAAGAGTAATGAAGAAAATGTATTGTAAAAAGAAAGTTAATCATTTTTCCTTCTGTCCCTGTGCCTATTCTTTGACATGTTTCTAGACTGTGGCAGGTTTGACTTGGTTCAGATGTTGGGCTCGTCAACACTTCTGACTGATCAAAGCTTTTCCCTGTGATTCTCAGCATGGCTCCTGTTGTCAGATATTGAAGGCGGTGGGGTCTATAAACAGATGCTACCCACTGACCTCAGAAAACACAGTAGAGGGGCCAGATGTTCACATGACCTCACAACCTTGGACCAGCTGATGTGGTGCTGATGGAGATGGGGACTGGCAGAAGAAAGTGATCCTGTGGCATCTGAGGTTCCCATTTTTACCACTTTTCTGTGTGGGTCTTTACCCCGAGCACACGGGGCGATCCTGGAAGGCAACGGGAGATTGAGAAAGATATAAACGCACAAGAAAGGGAGAAAGCCAGACAGGGCTGGTCAGTAGCTCTGACAGTTGTCACAGATGTTGAGTTCAGCACAAAACTCTGCCAAGAGCTATTATGTCAAAGCTAAGTTAGCCGAACGAACGAGAACAACTCCAGGCCCTGCCACTCTGCATCTTATTCAAAGCTCAACAGCTGTTTCTTGAACGAATGCAGATGCAAAATAATGATAATGATGCCTACTTACAGCGCCACAGTAAACAATACGCCATGACCACACCCTGTCCACATGGAGTCTGCCACCGCTGTAAAAGAAGAGAAATTTTAAATATAAAACTTGAAAAGTTGAAAAAGTCACAGTGGAAAACTGTGTCTTGGCTGCCTCATGAGCTCGCTAATGATAAAGCATCTCTCACAGTGGATCACGTATCTTATCAGAGATGATGCCCCCCTCGTGTCACACTTGCTTCAACACCATTGCTCCTCAAATCAAGGCCTGAGCACATCTATTCTGGCATCTCCATTCCTTAACATTTTGACTGGCTGCATCTTGGCTTCAAGCATCTTCACTCAGCTCAAAGAATGTCTCTGTGCCAAGGTTGCAGCCCACGGCGCTGTTCTAGTGACAGATGAGAATGTCAACATGTTTGTGTGTGAGTGAGTGTCCTGTTGAAACAAAAGCCATTGCAACTGTCACCTTTATGTGACCATTATGGACACACGAGATGGTAAAGGTATTAACACAAGATATTAACACAGATCTGACGGTGCATCCTTCTGAGTTTGTGATGAACAAATACACAACAAACTGTATTGAATTGGTAAACAAATATATCTATAGCACTGATATGATTATTATATTTAATCGAAATATTCTATTCCACAACAGCTCAGATTGCAATTCCATTGCCTCAATTATTTGGTCAATTTGCACAATCCATTTGATCTAACTGCATTATTTCTCTGCAACTAAGATTAACATTTAATTTGTTATCTCTGCACCCAATAGGGGTAGTTATGGACCTGTCTGTGTTTGTTTGATCGACTCATAACTATAAAGGTTATGGGAAGTTTTTTGATGGAATGTTTCGGAAACCTCCGGGATGGTAAGATGAAGATCCCTTCCCTCTCTGTGCTCCCGCCGTAACCAAAGATGAGAAAAACAATATTTTGGTTCATTGAAAGATTAATTGACAAAATAAAATATTTCAATATTTTAAATCTTTGAAAAGATTACTTGATGAATCAAAGATAATAATCACTCAATTACAAAATAATCGATGACTGCGGCTAATGATTTAAAGACCATTGATAACTAAGAGTAGTTAAACTATTGTTACTAGTCAATATTAAATCCATATTTAATTGTCGATGTAATAAAGAAATAAGATGATGCGCATCACCTACACAAAGGCGGGACATGTGGGTCTAAATATGTCCCTCTTGTCTGGAGGCCTGTTGGCAAAGGGCAGCTCAGCTGCTGCAGACGGACCGTGTGAAGAGGGTGAGGAACATCTCTCCACAGGCCACACTAAGGTGTCTAATCCAGGACACACTGTGAACACACAGCCTGTGGGCCCCACGCTCCACTGACTACTCTTCATCTAGATACAGCCATCAAAGCTGCTTTTGTTGGCGGCTCACATTTGCATTCACAACTCAAAGTTTGGCATTGAAATGGAAACTATTTCTTACACATAGTTTTATTTGTGTTATACTTGGCAGGAATAACTAGATGAACCAGGCGGCATGGTGGCTGAGTGCGGCATGGTGGCTGAGTGCGGCATGGTGGCTGAGTGGATAGCAGTCTCGCTTCCCAGCAAGAAAGTCCTGGGTTCGAATCTTGATCGGAACAGGGCATTTCTGAGTGGAGTTTGCATTTTCTCCCCGTGTCTGCGTACGTTCCCTTCGGGTATTCCAGTTTCCCCTACCACTAAAAACCTTTACAATAGTTCAGGGTGAATGAATGAATGAATGTGTTTGTGGGTGTGAATGTGGGACAATGGCTACAATCCGGAGTGATGTGTTCATTAACATGTACTGTCCCAACCAAATAAACAATAAATAAATAAATAAACCGTGCACTCGACAGATCCTCATGTTAAAGCAGAGTCTCTTTTCATTACCTGGTTATCAGTATCCATTACATAAACATGTTTTTATGAACATATTTTGTACCTTAAGAAATATTGCCAGTTTGGTGTAGATTGTGTGCTCCGTCCAACACTTGTCAGATCAGCTGAGTGTCAGCCACATCATGGGGCATCACGAAACGACAGCCCCCAACGCCTGGAAAAGAAGAGGCCTGAGGAGAAAAAAAGAGGTTAGATCAAAGATTCATCGTCCCAAGTCTATCAAAGTGACTCCTGTCAGCATCACAAACAGAGCGCTCACACTGTTCATTTCATCATTAAACAGTTTTATGGTCTATCTATGCACAGACCGTATTAAAACAAACAAACAAAAGCATTTAATAAAAATAGACACAATGTTTTAGATGACAATCACCCAAGACACAGAATAAACTGCATTAGAGAAGAGGAAAATAGAAAAGCAAGCTTTAAAGCTTTACACAAAGTAGCATAGACAGCTACCATGGGGCAATTCTATTTACCTCTGCTGTTTACAACCAACTCTGCTACAAGACACACTAATATGAGATGTGCAGCAATGACAAATATTCCAGACTCAGGGCAAAACCAAACCAAGGCGACCAAATCGAGATCAGTCCCCCAGGCCCGGCTCACACCCACTGCACTGTAGGCCACTTCTGATTTCAGCACTAGCTGGTGTAACGCAACCAGCCATGCATTAGCATTGGCCCTGCAGTTAAGAACCAGCACTTAGGATCCTGTCATCCAAACTTATACTGTCTCACACTCTGAGCCTCTGCTGGCTATGAGCACACATGGGATACATAGTTTAACTGTAATTTCTAATAAAAACAACCTTTTACAACTGAAAAAAATGTTTGACATGAGTATGAGTACCAATGACATCAAAGCAGGGGTTTTAGTTATGAACCCTCAAATTATGTGTGAAATCAAATTGCAAGCCCAACTGCAGAAGAACATTTAAAACAGTAATAATTTGAAGAGCAGCTGAATCTATAGTGTTCAATCAAGGAAAGAAAAAAAACAAACCTAGATTATTAGTTACAGTCATGCAACAATTAAAATCAAATTAAGCTAAATAAAAAGAACACTCTAGATAGTTTTTGGATAGCCCTGGTTTTATCATTACTGCTCTGTTCAACTCACATTTCAAAGTAAATGCCTTTTTTAGAGTCAGTCAATGGACTAGTTAACAACTAATTGATTATCAAAATAGTTCTTGATCTTTCAAAATACTTAATTAGTCGTGATTAATTATTACAGCCATACATTAGTGTGATTTGTGTCAAAAATATAAAAATACAGAGATTCAAAAGTTAAACTGAGCTTAGTGACTCGTGACTATGGAGTGGGCACAATCTAAATTGTGTTGAACAGTTAGTAAAGAAGTTGTGCGGTCGTGTCGTCTGTATAACGGACGATCACTGGCTGCAATAATCCCCCACTCCACCACATAAATGACTGAATCCATGCGTTTAACCAAGCAGCCCAATATCTCCCCCCACTTAGAGAGGGAGGCCTGGCTCGAGCACAAAGTTCAACAACTGTGAAGAGGGAACTATTAAAAAGGACACACAAAGCAGTGACCTTGACTGACAAGTGCTCTTCATCCCGGCCATAAACAGCAGTGGGGCTGATAAGTGTTCATCGGTGCACGGAGTAATGACCTATCCGTCAGCACAGGTCGCCCATGTGAGCGAGTATAAATGGAACATACATAATGTACAGCAATAATACCAGCACGCTCGCAGCTTAATGTTTCATCATTATTCTTGGAGACCAGTTTTTTTTTTCCTCAACTCCCCTAGCCATGTGTGGGACACCCCAGCAAGGGGGGCAAATGGCTCTCGGACATGATAATTTCATTCTAATCTTTGTTCCATATTAAAATTTTCATAGTGAGAAATACCGCAGGAGCGGCGCTGTGTTTCTATCAAGGCCTAAACAGAACCCAGACCATAACTGTGGGTTTTATGTGACTATATAACTGCCCATTCGTGGTGCACTGTTCAATTTACGATAAGAAAAGAAAAAGCTGTAAATTCAGGTGTGATGATCCATTTCAAACATCACCATTATAAGCAGTAGCAGGGTTTCCAGCACATAACAAGAGTTAGCACAAACATATTGCTTTTTTGGATTAACCACTAATACAATATAAATAATATGGAATTCTATTTAACCTTACATCCCAATGTCAGGCTCTTCAATAAACACATTTGTATATCTAGAGGTTTTAAACCTAGTAGTTTGAGAACACTTTCATTAATATTAGGGATCAACCAATTTATCGATTTTGAGATTTCCAAGATAATTACATTTTTTTGTTGGGTGTTATTGCCCTCACCAATATAGACATGTTATACCTCATATAACAGATCTGAATCTGCGGAATCCAGTTGTATTACATTCCAAGCACTTACAAGTGATAAGAAAAAAAAAAAATCTGCAGTCAAAAACAGGGCATCATTATTCAGGTAACTTCAGCTCCACCAAATGTAAAACAATAATGTTTGTCATATTATAAAGCTCTGAACAGCCTGAATCCAGTTTCTCAATCTCCTCACAAATGAAATAGTGTGAGCAAAAGAAAAAGTCTCTATTATGTGGAAAAGATGGAGACTATTTGTTATTTAAAACAGATATTCTCAATTGGAACATTTTTTTTGTCCTTGTTCCCATGTTCTTCATGTTGTGTGAAAAACTATTATCTCTCACTTGCCAAGAAGGGAATAGCAGCTGAGCAAGTTAAAAAAATACTTTTGGACCATTTGGATACTATAGATGAGTTTGCATTCTCATCTTTGCAATTTCACTTAAAAAAAAGCATCACTCATTGTATTGCCACTGATGAGACAGCAGGATGATGGACAGAAGGTGAGGAGTGCACACCCCTTTTGACCAGAGCTGTTTGCTTTCAAATCCGATTTACAGTGGTCGGCCAAGCAGCCGTCAGGAGCCATAGGGCCCATTCTTACCTACAATAATATAGTGCTGTAGAGTTACAGTATATACTACTGTATACACATACTGACGCTGTAGGGCTCTAACAAAATTATCGAATCAGACTAACCACTAACTGCAGCCAAAAAGTGCCAAACTGTCATTGTGTCCTTAGGCCAGACACTTCACCCACTTTGCCTGGAATTAGTCTAGTGTAAACATAAAAGATTGGTGGTGATCGGACAGGCCAATGGCACATACTTGCCTCACCTGTGTCAGTCTGCCCCAGAGCAGCTGTGGCTACAGTAGTAGCTTATCAGGTGTATGGAGTGAAAGAATAATGATATATAATTAATGAACAAAAAAGTTCTATAAGAAACCGGTGCATTATTAGTATTATTATTATTATTATTTATTTGTGCTGTGGTATTATTATTTTTCTTTTCAATCAAATACCTGAACAACTGTTATACATGAGTTAAAAGATCCATCCTGTATCAATAGGATCAATGCACTAAAAAAATATCCTATATTGTTGTGCCACATGCATGTGAAAGCCTGATTTTGTCAGAAGTCAGAAGTTAAGCAAGGTAGGCTCTGGCTAGTAATTTGATGGAAGACCTCTGGGAGCACCAGGTGCCACAGTGGGGCAGCTGTAAACTGCCAAATGATTGTTCTGTCCTTAGGCAAGACACTGGTGTGTGTGTGTGTGTGTGTGTGTGTGTGTGTGTGTGTGTGTGTGTGTGTGTGTGTGTGTGTGTGTGTGTGTGTGTGTTGAGACTGATTGGTGGTGGTCGGGGGGGGGGCAACATTTTCTGAATATCTGTGCCAACTTAAGCATAACTATATTTATCATGACCCTTTACAAAACCAATAATAACTGGCTTTGATGTTGGCTGAAATAAATATTTACTTAAAAAAAATGTGGCCTCAAGATTTAAGGAACTATTTTCAACACTTTTCAGGTAGGGGGATACCCTTGGATAACTCTTATACTAATACTTGTGCATGTGGCGCTCGCTGTGCAGCTCAGCCGCACTTCAGGCTCCCCCATGCTGTGAAAATTTCCTGGTGAGAACCCTGGATGCATACAGTGCTGTACAGTGCTCCCAAAATACTTCCTGGGAAGTGCTAAGTCCCTCTGGAAGCTATGGTACTAATCAAGATGCACTGGTAATTAACAAGCATTGAAAGGCCTCCCACACACTTTACATCAAAGTCACAGCCAGTGTCTTTATCCAAAACACATCGCAGATGAGATGGGACAGAGCCACTACAGAAACCAAAATAGTCCTTTTTCGTGTGATCAAAAATAGTTTTTTGAATCTACAAACCAGGAGTAAGCAGGGAAAGCTATCAATGAGTTGGGTTAGCCCGTCAACAACTATTCTCATAGACTCTCAACGACTCATTTTTCTTGTATGACTTGTTCTTCTATAGTATACTCAAATTGTATAGGTTTGTTTTAAAAGGGGAGCAGGTCCTGGGGAGCTTGTGGAGAAAGTCCATAGCCGAGGCAAAGCCCAATTTCAAGACTGTGGAGAGTACTAGTTGTTGAGGAGAGACTGTGGAGAGTGCTACAGTTGTCGGGGAGAGAGGGGACGCACAGAACGCAGAGCACAGAGCGAGGGGTGGCGGTGCCCCACCGGTCATAAGGACAGTGGATATTAATGTTGAAAAGGATGCATGGCATATCACTACTGCACAGAAGTATCCAGACAGAGCAGGGGGGCAGTGAAAGATGTCTGTATGGAGCCCAGAGACATTATCTCCTCAGCAGAGGTCAGATCCAACATGGCAGCTGAGTGTCTGTAGAGATTGACAGCCTGAAGAAATAGTGCTGCCAGTCCCCACAACATGCAGTGACAGTAAACACCGCCCAGGGAAAAGGCTGGCCACCAAGCCTTTATAGAGGCACACTCAATGGACAGTCATATAAGAACATCGGGAAATATCCTCGTTAGTTAGTCTGGATATACAAACTAAAATACTTATATCTAAGACATTAGATGCTTTAAGTGTATTTTATTTCATTCTATAGTAGTAAATTGTATAAAATTTTGGACAAATGACAAAACTCCCTAATTATATATCATTATCAATTGCTCAAAATGATGAACATAGTTATCTTGGAACAGATATACAGATATGGTACAATGTCCAAATAAAACTGTAATAAGTGTCAGGGTCGGCGTACATACATATAGCTGCAAAACACTAATTGCATGAAATATGTTCTCTTACAGGC